TCTTGCTTCAGCCCCTTGCTGCCTCTGTGTTAAAATTTGCTGCTTATGCTTTGTATCCTGATTGCTGTCTGTACCAGGAATTTCCAGGTCTGTTCAATCTCTTTGTATCTTGCAGAAGCACAGTATATTTTCTGTCTTTAAAAAAGGGGGTGGAAGCAAGAAAAAAACAAAACAACCCATACCAATCCACTCTTCAAACCACCATAGAAACTTAAATGCATGAAAACACTGAAGTTGATAGAAATATACCTGCAGAATTCAGTGATTGCTGAATTGGGTCCAGAGCCAGTTGTGTTAGTAAGTGGCTTTGTGTTCAAGCTAACATCTTGAAGAAAATCAAAGACACTTCTAACTCTAGTTCAGTGTCAATCCCCTTAGCTTTTGCAGGCCAAGTGCCCCAAGTTTACAGACACCTCTGATTTCAGCAGTTGAGTTTGTGCTCAGATTGATGTACAGTTAATTTCCTCTGTATGCATATCTCTTGCAACTTCTAAGTATGCAGCCAATGTAATGCCAGCATGAATTTTTTTGTTCAGAAGTACTGTGGAGTATTCATTCATTCTTCCACACTACTAAGTACAGTATTCTCATTCTTGAGTTTTCATTTCATTATAGCTGATGCTTTAAAAGTTAACCACTCAGTGCCAGACTCACTGTGAACACAAGTCTCTTTTGTACCCTCAGTCTAAACAGTTTGGCTGGTTGGGCTTGTCCTACAAAGACAGAGATGGTTAAGGTTATGTGCCTCCAGAATGAAGTTTGTCCTTACCTCTCCAAGTCCAGAACAGTTGATGAATTTCGTTAAACTCACTAAAAATTCAATCTTTGCTAGAGAAAATACACTGAATATTTCAGCCTGAAGACAAATAATGAGCATGGAGGATGGGAATGCTTTTGCTATCTTAACTATAGCAATGTGGCTATAGAGCAACCCATGCAAAAGTCTATCTTGTCAGGATGAGTGTTTGTTACTTGAGGACACAAGCCTGCAAATACCTCTGCTCATGTGTTACTCATGTGAGTAGCCCTGCTGCTGTGCTATGTGGCACTGTGAAGACAAGGCTGAGTGGCATCTGTACCGTTTTGTACGACACATCCCTTATAGAGCTGTGACACTTCATAGTTCCCTGCACACCTCTTCTGACTGCTTCCATCTCTCTCCCTCCTGTTTCACAGATCTGCTTTTACTATGCACGTGGAAGCTGGGCATTCGGCGGTTCCTGAGGAAGGACCCAAAGACCTTCGCTGTCCTCTCTGTCTATATCACACCAAATACAAACGCAACATGATTGACCATATAGTTCTGCACAGAGGTAACAACATCCGTGTATGTGTCTGTATCTGACGAGGGCAATGCTGAGCAGTGCCCCTGTGTTTCAGACTGGCTTCTTTAAATTTTCCCCTCTCATGAGGACATGCTGGATAACTCACTAGCCCTTGAGTATCATTTTGTTTCATGTCTAAGTCATGCATCTTATTTATTTACTGTAAAACTCAAAGTTTGCCAGTGCTGAAACAGGACAGATTTGAAATTGGTTTTAAGCTTTTCCTCTAGAGAGGTTAACAGCCATCAAGCACCTGTTTAGCAAGACTTTCCCTAATTTACAGCTTTTATCTAGGCCAGAGGTGTTTCTAGCTTATGTCCTCGTTATCAGAAAGGCCTTGCTATCATAAATCCACTGTTAAGGTTTAACAACTAACCATAGAGGCCCCAAAATATCCTTTGATTTGTTCCTGGTGTATTTTCTCCTCAGTGCAATTATCTTGGTTTTGTTTTTAATACTCCTTTCTATCTGCACCTCTCCTCCTTTTTTTTGTTAAGCCTGCCAGAAGTGGGTTTAGGGATTTCTGTATTCTATTAGCTGCAGGCTTGCTATCTCAGAAGAGACAGCAGTTTGGGCTCTCTGGGCTGGGATTCCTGCCCATAGCTATCACACTTGATGCTTGTAGATGGTCTGTTGGCTGCCGAAATCCAAACCCATGTGTTGGGATGGCACTCTGCCTGCTTGCAGGTTGGGCAGAGTTTCACAGTAGGGTATTGGTGGTGAGCAAACACAAGTTTTGCATGCCATCTTTTTCCTGGAGGAGATTCTGGTGTGACAAGTGCTATCATAATTCCTTGTAACATACCACTTTTCAGTGTTGGTAGCTTAAAGTCCTTCTTGTACCAGCACAGTGAGCTTGGCAGAATTCATACAGACTTCTCTCTGCTAGCAGGGCTGTTCTGAGGGAACATCTGGGGAAAATGACCTGTCAGGATTTCAGAAAGCACATTACAAAGCTGCCATAGTTGGTTGTAAGGTTTTTGGCAGATGCTTTAGCTTTGACTTCCTGTCTTTGAAGGTGTTGCTGTGTCAGATTTTGCCCAGCTTTAGGACACACTCCAAAATTAGTCCACTTTAGAGTAGAAGAGGGTTTAGCTAACCCCTGTGCAGCAGGGCATGTGGTTCTAAGTGGTGCTGAGGTATGCTCTGCTTTCTGGCTGTGCCAGGGCTCCAGTAGACAGTGCCAGACCTTTAAAATAGACAGCCTGAGGGGAAGCTGGATGGGCTTGGGGTATTTTTCCATCATGTGTAGATTTGGCACAGGAATATCCAGTTGCAGAAGTGGAAGAATACTTCCTGAGCTCAAGCAACTGTACTGCCTGTGCAGAGCTGATTATGACCAGTTGCAAGGAGGTTCTTACCTCCTGGGTAAGTGAAATTGTGGATCTGTTCTTCTGTAGAGCTGTTGCTTCAGCTGCACAAACCAATGTAAAGAGTTCTTGCTGCTGAAACAAACCTTATAGCAAAGGGCATAATGGTCTAGCCACTACAGTATTGGGAAAGGTAAAGCAGAGAAAAAGAAGTTAAAAGAGTCTCAGAGAGCACTGAGGGAAGGACAAGGGTTTTCTCTGACATCACATATGCAGGTGATAAAGGAAGTAGAGTCCTTCCTCAGAGTTATTTCTGGTGTATATATCCAGCTTAAAAAGAACCCTCTGCTGTTGTGGTCCATTGTGTGGCAGCTGAAGCAGACAGTTTTGACAAGATTTAACACGCATCGAGACTGAGGGATAGCGAATGTAGTCTGAGGTAGCCTTCCTTTTTTATAGCCATTGCATTGGTAAATCAAGGGCATAGCCCTGAGCTGTGGTCCAAGAAAATGAGTTTTGAGGTAGATGGAGTGGTACAGTACATAAAATCAAGAGTGAAGTATTTGATCCACTCATAGTTAACGTTCCTTTTGTGTAAAAAGGCATGTTTACAGATGCATGACTCTTGCATTACTTCCAAGTTGCTGCACCCCTAATCCTTGGTGAAACAGCATGTGCTTGAAATGGAGAGTATATTTGCCTCCTAATGAGTGACTAAGGAAGCTGAATTTCACAGGGCTAAAGCCATGAAGCCTGAACGCCTTGTGAGAAAAAAAAAAGGAAGGCAAGGAATTTGCATCACAAGAAGAATCAGAGCTTCCAAGAGCATTTTTTTAATGTATCACCTATTCCTCATCAGTGTAAAAGCATTTCACCCTCCCCTCTGTGGGTACTGATGGAGCACAGACTCATTACGGGTGGCCTGTCAGAGCTGACACGGCTAGGGGCTGCTGCTAGGTGAAGAGAAGTTTGGCTTTTCAGTTCTTCCTGGGGAGAGGAGACAGACACAAGAGGAGGCTGAATTCTTGTTCAGTAGCCAGCAGAGGTGTTGGCCTTTAATTCATTCTGGACAATACAGTTAGTTTTTCACAGAATCACAGAATCATTAAGGTTGGAAAAGACCTCTGAGATCGAGTCCGACCTGTGACCGATCACCACCTTGTCAGCTAGACCATGACACTGTGTGCCACGGCCAATCTCTCCTTAAACACCTCCTGGCATGGTGGCTCCACCACCTCCTAGGCAGCACATTCCAATGCCTGACCACCCCTTCTGTGAAGACATTTCTCCTGATGTTGTCCCTCCCATCCTGCATTTTGAAGTACATTGGTATTTTCCAGGGCTGAATGCAACTTAACAAGTTGGCTCTACTTTAAAGTCCTTGGGCATTATTTTTTCTTCCTTTAGAGATCGTTTTATACTCTTCCTGGTACAAATTATGATTTTTCTCCTTCCGTTTAAGAGAAATAACACCCATGTGTTTTGAATAGTAACCTTAAGATAAAATGTCAATTTACCTACCTCCCCAAAGGCTTCATTGCTACATATCCTGATTCCTTGTGCATGGTGGTTTTCTAGCATTTTCTGAGGTCCATGCAGCTTCATTTATACATGCAGAACCCTTGTTTGTGCTTGCTTTTGACTGCTGGAATGCAAATGCTGCATGTACTGTGACTGTAGGTTGGATTTGCAGGCAAAAGTGTATTTTCAAACACCCAAGATGACCAAATAATTCATCTGTGTCTAGGTAGGAGGGCTGGTTTTTGGGGGTTTTGTACTTGGTTTACCTTTAAGGGAGAGAAATAACTTGTGTATGCTGTGGTGTGTTGCTATATAAAGATTTTTCCTTACGACTAAGGACTTGTAAGAGTCATAGGCTCTTTTATGCCTGCTTTGAGTTATGGAACTGCTGATAGCTAGTGATTAATGTCCTTTCAACTTAATCTCTGTTACAATTAACCTGGATATTCCAGTCTAATGGAATGATTGGATTTCTTAAATCAAGATGATGCTTTTTAGGGGTTTATTTTGTTGTTATTTTTTGGATAACCCCTCTTGCAATATTGTTACATAGTTCAGGACATCTTTTTGTGAGGTGTCTACAGTAGTCTTTGTTTATACACTGCTGTACTTTGTGGGTAAAGAAGTTACCTCTTCAATTTGTGTGTGGGGCCTCATGGTTTGCTGTAATTTTGTCAGTTGACCGGATGTGATAAGTGCATTCTGAATGAGAAATTAAATAAACAGAGCTTTGTAGGGGGAAGCTGGAGGTGAGAGCATCACCTTACAAAATATAAGCTTCCGGATTCAAATAACCCTGCGAGTTCCAAAACCATGGCTTGGAGGAAGTTCACTGGCATGAATACATCATGTAAAAGTTTTAAATCATTCCCTGAAAGTGAAATCCTTCAGGCTAGAGTTGATGTTTATGTTTATTTCGCTTTTCTCCTCTTCCTGTGCTGCCTTTGATTTGGGGAATGTGTGTGTGTGATTGTGAGATAATAGGTTTTGCTAATGTGAATTAGGGAATGCTGCATTACTCCAGACTGGTAGATAGAAAGTTTTATACCATCCCATGTTGTAGGTTTTTTAATCTGTGCCAGGTGCCTGGAGGAAAAGTGAATTTTAAAATATCTTAATTAGTATTTCCCTTTTTGAAAACTTCACTTGACTTTTTCACTTTTGACACCAGCTGTGTCACTCATTTCTGCGAGTTCAAAAGCACACAGCTGCAACAACCTTGTAAAAAATTCTCCTTGTGATCTCAGAACCACAGCTTTAAATTCTGCTGTCTCTTAGATCCTGTTCTCCCCACCCCTGTTCCCACCCTGAATGACCACAACTTGGTTTCTTTATATCTAGAGAAACTGTTATTGGAGTAGAAAAGAATCACAGGTCCACAAGTGGGGTGGAGTTTTTTTTTGTTCAGATACAGCTTTGGGGAAAACTTCCGTTTTTTGAAATGGCCAAAGTGGAAGTTATGAGATAGAGTAAATTTTGTGTTCAGGGAGATGCTGAGCAGGATGGAATATTTTGTTGGGCTGTAGAAGAAATCTTACTGTAAGGGAGTGTGTGTTTCTGTAGTTGTCTTTGGATGTAACACTACCTTCCTTGCTAAAGGAAAGGGCCCATTGGCTCAGATCCATATGTGCATTGCCACGTCTCACATTCCCCTAACCTTCATGTCTACCATCAGGAGTTCAGCCTCTTTTTTTGGTCTGCTGTTAGGGATGAACCTGGATGAGGAGGATCAAACTCCTCCTTTAATCTGCAGTCCATAAGGAGCAGCAGTACTAAATTTCAGTGTTCTGTTTGAAAAACGCCGGTTGAGCAACAAAAGCCTTGTAATGAGGATGTTTTGGTGACCCTCGGCTGAATGGTCAGATTTGAGGCTTCTCTTGTGCACACAGCTTGGACAGCACCACAGTGGAGGAGTGTTAAGGCACATTAGGTTCTGGCTGTGTCAGATGTCTGAAATTCATTGCTGCTCTGCTAAACGTCAGTGCTTTGTGTGAAAAGTGGAGGGCTTAAAAACTCAGTGAGAGCATTTTCAGCACATCATGGCCTGCACATTTTGAATCTGAGCTTTCTGAAAGCTCTGGGTATGTTGGGGAAGTTTCTACCCCTGGATTAACTGCCCAGCCTCTTCCAGCAAAAGGTGCTGCCTTGCTTACCCTCTCAATCCCCAAGAGCAGGTTTTGATGTGATGGTGAGGATACTGGCTCTGATTTATGTAGAGCCAGAAGCATGTGATGCATTGGGAAACACTCCGCAGCTCCCCTGTTTATTGCATTTCTAGAAGCCATTCCTGGCTGCTGTCAAGTACTGAACGAAAATGGACTTTGGGTCTGGCTGATTTATGGCTGGTTTTGTATTCCTAGGCTCTGCTACTCTGACTCACAGATTGAGTCCCATTTTCCACAAAACTTCCATTCCTGTCCTCTTCATCCAATAACCAGCCAGGTTTGTGAGGACACCTGCACTTGTAGCCCTGAAAGATTAACCCTGTCATGGCTGGAAGTATTGTTCCCTTGTGTTATTTTTGTGTCAGTCCAGCTTAGCTCCCATTCTGTTACAGACAGGCTGCCTGCCCATGTCACAGATCCTATTCCCTGTGTTGGTGGCAGTGCCCAAACTGTTGACATGTTGGCATTTCATGAGACTTGTTAAGTGAATGTTGTCCTGTCCCCACAGAAGAGCGGGTCGTTCCCATTGAAGTCTGCCGTTCCAAACTGTCCAAGTACTTGCAGGGAGTTGTTTTCCGCTGTGATAAGTGTACCTTTACCTGCTCCAGTGATGAGAGCTTGCAGCAGCACATAGAGAAGCACAATGAACTGAAACCTTACAAATGCCAACTCTGCTACTATGAGACCAAACACACAGAGGAGCTGGATGCTCACCTTCGAGATGAGCACAAGGTAACATCCAAATGGTTTTAATTCCTGGCAATCTACTCTTTGCAAATGCTGTGTTAGTTTACTTGCATGTCTGAGTAGCCAACTTAACACTGAGGGGTTTTTCCTCTCCCTCCCCAAATGTGGAAATTAATCCTATGTTGTCCTTCCTCATTTTTCTCTTATTTCTTTTTTTTCTTCAGAAAGTGAATAGCAAGCATTTCTGAAGCTGTTCAGATTGATCAGAATTGGGAGACTGTTGTAGGCAGAGTATGACTATCTGGAAAAGGCTGTTGCGTATGCTAGGTTTATTCAAAGAGTTGGGGGAAAGAAGGGTTGTGAAACAATACCAAGATGTAGGGGTCCTTGCGAGGGACGGACTACAGCACACACCAATATGATGCTCTGATAGCCAACTTTATTTAGGGCACCTAACAGTATTTATAGTAAAATGTCTTCGGTACATGCAGCTACATGCTGATCACACAACTTTGGATTGGTTGCTCAACCTGTCAATGCTGCAGTTCTTACTTATGATAGGTTACAAGTTTAAGCTGTATCCTGCTCTCACATCCTGGGAAACTGATAACAAGAGCCACACAGTGTCTATGAGAACCTAAACAACAGCACTATTCCCAGCTTGTTAGCAAGACAACTTATCTATAAGGCAGTAAATTTACAACCAAACCTAAAAACCCTGGCAGCAGGAGAGAACAAGACCATTATAAGGTGTTGGATTGAAGACACAGGAATGCATGAAGACAGAAAAAAGGTCAGCAAGACCTATTTTGTGTGTCTTGTTTTTAATTGCTTAAGCATTCCTTTACCCATTGCTCAAGGTACAGCTCCTCTGCTGGCCAGGAGCCAACACCAAGACAGTGTGAATCAGCCCCAGTCAAAGGCAGGAGATTCCAAACTTAAGATTGCTCTGGTAACTTCAGCAGTGCGATATGCCACGCATATTTTAATAACAAAGAGGGCTATACATCTCCCTTTACATTTAACAAGGGAAAGATAAACAGCAAGTCTAACCAGGTCCTAAGACAAGGCTGCTTTGGAGTTCTTGTGGATTACCTGAGTGCATGCCAGGTCCAGTCTTTTGAAAAGTCATTAAAGGCTCTCCACAGACTGTCAGCTTTGAATTTCTGTAACTGTGAGCTGTGCAGCTGAGAAACATTGAAATGCTAGAATTGAGGTGTGTTTTGGAGTATTTCTTAGAGTGCTTGCTTGTCAGATTTCCAGGGGAGGCAGCCATATGCCTCCACCTGTTGGAGCTGAGCTGCCCAAAAACTTCATCAACTGAATTACACTTTCCTTACAGCCAAATATATTTATATGGAAGGTGTTAGCAGCAGAAGTCCCCCGGAAGAAAAAAAAAAACCCACCTTTTCAAGCTTAAAAAATATTTGGCTGCCTTATTAAAACAAACTTTGTTAACTTATGTTGGCCTGCTATGCTTATCTGCCCTCCTAATTACTTCTGGAGAGTCTTCCACAATTCAAATAGCAGACAAGATGTTCCACACCTCCTAGTCACCACAGCAAGATGCCTAGTATATCCAGGGGGAATTACTGCTCTTTTTTTGATACAGTGCATCAGACTGGGAAGATGATTCCCTTACTTAGTTCTCCCCTCCAGTCTGGACCTGCAGTGGTAGTGTTGGTAGTTTAGGGTACTGTTTTCCTTTGGTAACTTATAGCTCTCTGATTTGTGTCCCGGGTTCTAAGCTCAAATACCTAAGTTATATTTTGCACCCTAAAGAGTTCCTTTATATGAGCCAAGTTGAATCAAGTGCCTTACACGTGGTCTTGTTTGTTTAAGTTAAGAGAACCTTCACATCTACATGTACAGAGTAGTGCTGGGAATCTTCACAGCACTGCAATTAGGAATTTGGATATACATTACCTTTGCTATTTGGACATATATACTACCGTCTAGTTCACATCCTGCTTAGGATCATTCACGTTCCCTTTCCCACACAGGGATAAAAAACAATCAGTGGCTGTTGATACTTCATTCGGCATCTTGCAGGAGGTGTTGCACTGCTCTCATTCCTCCGTCTCCATCCTCTCTGCCTCTGTGGCTCAGTGCCTGTGCTGCTGGAGGGCTGCCTCTTTGCATGAAAGATGAATCCAAAAGCCTTCCCAGCAGTGATCAATGAGCTCAGAGGGCTCTTGTCATCCAACAAGCATTAGCCTTAGTGTCCTGGTCATGCTCCATGCTCTCCGCCTCCACTGTAAATCTGGACTGCTGCTCCGCTGTTTCTGTTGGATGTGGTAGAGTTCCTGACTTTTCTGCCCTGAGCTGCTCCTTTCATACTGCTGCTGTGAGCTGTTAAGTAGCTAGTGCATTTCACCCCAGGGTTAGCTGAATTTGACTGCTGGGTGAAGTGTTCCCATTATAGTCTGTGTATCAGTTTGCAAAGCACTTTGCAGCCCTTGGTAATGAAAATTAATCTGTTATTAATGAGTGGAAGTGTATGTGGCACACAGCAGCCATGTGCTTAGTGGGAAAAAAAAGCAACTCATCCTTTCATGAATGAAGATGTATCAACCAGTCACAAAGAGCTTTCCTTCAGCATGGATGTGCAACAGCAGTGTTTGATCATAGCAGCTGAATGATGCCATAAAAAGACGATATGACTTAGTGTTTTACACTTCTTGGATGAAGAAATGAGAGAGGTTTACTGATTCTTGTTAATTTTTGGAAACCAAAAATGAGAAATGTAGAATAAACAGCAATAGGAGAATCATTGTCATTGTAAAGAGTGTTAGATTAAGGGGGCTGCTTGTTGCCTCGAGCTGAACAGGCTTTGGGTGATCCTGTTTTGTATGTGTGATGATTTTTATGATTAGCTGGTGACTGCTGACTGCTAACAAAAGTGTTTCTTTCAAAGGTGAGTCGCAATTTTGAGCTGGTTGGACGGGTTAACTTGGACCAGTTGGAACAAATGAAAGGGAGAACAGAGAGCTCTAGCAGTGATGAAGAAGACAAAGAAGAAGAGTTAAGTCCCAAGACTGAAGAGAGAGGTCAGTGCAGGTCTTTGATATGTTGGGGTTTTTTTTGCTGGGGTTTTTTTTGGCACTGCAACATGGCTCACCGGTCCAGCCGTGTGAGGTCAGCTGTTGACTCCACAGCACACACTCTACAGCAGGCATGGCAGCAGAAGCAGAATGTGGCTTTTGTGAAGACACAGCTCCTGTGGGAATCTCATGTTTCTAATCCTCATTACAAGTTTTCTGTCTGTTAAGAGAATACATACTATGAGAAAACACAGATAGCATCTGTGACTTATCTGCCTGTGCAGATAACATCTCTAAGGGCTTGGAAAACTATGTAAGTGGAGTATTTTCGTTGTCTATCAGATTTTTTGTTTTGGTAACCATTTTTCAGCTTTCACTTGGCATTGTTCAAGTGAGGGATGAAGGCTGTTTTATGGGCTGTCATTTACTCTGTGCCCAGCATTCTTTGTCAGACAGAGTCAGTCCTGTTGCAGTTGCTGCAGTTGGCAGCTCTGGAGCCAGGGTAAGTCCATTTAAATATGTGCCTAAGTTTGTATCTAAGAATAATCCCACTGACTTCAACACAGCTAGGCCATGTTCTTGCTAATGCTTTTGGTTTGGTTGAAGTTAGATCAGCAGGGAAAAAGTAAGTTCTCTGTAAACTAAACAAAGGGTTCCTTGTGCTTTGCTTCCAACCTTCTCCCATGGAAACCAGGTTATTGCAGTATCTGGTGTAAACTGTGTGTTGTGTTGTCTGCTCTGGTGCACTTCATCATTCAAATGCAATGTGCTCACAACTCTTAGTATCTTTAGCTCCTTTATGGTCTGAATGATAGGTCACCCACTCTCTTGATGCTGACAACTGCAGTTAGACAATTTCTGTGTACTTCAACTAACTTTTTCCTTCTGAATTTTTATCTTTGAAACTCAGGAGTTTTTGACAAAAGTAAATGTGCCTCCCTAGGTATCTTCAGACATTGAAAAATTCTCATTTCTGGGTTCACAGAACTGCAGGGGTTCAGACCATGCTTCTTACCTTCTAAAAGCAAGACCTCAGCATCTTGGCTTTTGTTTAGTGTCCCTGCAGCATAAATTCAGTCTTTGCTTATCAGCGCTGCTTCAAGTATGGTTAGTGATGGCTTTTATTTAAATAATGAACAAAGTCAATTGGATAGGAAACCATTTATGTTCTAATGAAAAATATCCTGCATGAAATCTTAGGCAGGTCAGTAGAAAAATCAGAGGAGAGCCTATAGGGATGCTAATTCCATATTAATTTCAAAGTTCACCACTAGTAGTCATGTGGAAACATGTTTGGGTGTGTGTTCAGGGACAGCTTCAACCTTCAGGTCTTCGTGGCTGGAACAATAATTGTGTAATGATTTGACGAAAGAACCAGCTCACCTTAGCTGCAGATGTAGCAGTCTGATTAATGTTCTGTATAGACCCAGAGCTAGCAGGGGATGAAGAGTCATGCTGTCCTTGTGAGGATTACCTTAGCATTACATACAAGCACAGGTGCTGAAGCGACCTTGGAAGCCATGGCATCCAGACCAAGGAGAAGAAAGTGCTCTCTGCCAAGCCTTACAGATCCCTGTAAAAGCACCATGTGGAAGGGGACAGCCCAAGGTGAAGTTCATTGTTTAAATTGGCTTGAGGTTGCACTGTGAAAAATAGAAAAAATCACCTTCTCTGCTGGAGTTTTAAAAATGCAGGCATAATAGATATGTTCTTCCCATGTTTCTAGTGATCCATGGTTAAGCAAGGGGTAGTGTCTTAATGAGTCCGGTTTTTATTTTGTATTCCTTTTTTTTCACCTGTATCTGTGGGGGTTTTTTAATCTGTGGCTGCTAAAATGATTTCTTCGTGCTTAGATGACTAGTCTGAAAAAATCAGGCACATTTCCAAGTTTGATTTGCAGCAGTTCTTTCCTAGCGGGCCTGCAGGGCCAATGTTTCACCATGATTGTTTTTTCTCCTCTTTAATCTGTTACTATTTACAATACATTATACTGAAATAGGTAGAAAATGAGCAAAACAGTTATGCCTACTATTAAAGGGTATTTTAAAAAAATCCAGTTGTACCAACTGTATTTTTGGAGGCAAATTATGTGAATTACCACTATAAGGTGCAAGATGCAAAGTGCACTTTTGAAAAATGTCCCAGTGAGAAAGGAGCTGAAGATGTGGTTGGATGCTAAGTTCCATGCTGGCATCTCTGTATGGATTTTCAGGAGGTAGTTATAACACAGTAATGGTTTGCCCTGTTAGCAGAGAACCAGACCTATGGTTTTAAACAGAGCCTGTCTCAGTGGCTAATGCTGTCACAGCTTTCAAACCACATCAAACTATACAATGTTGTATGCTGCTGG